TACATGCAACAAAAGAACATGCAGGCAATCTCACAGTAGATCAAGATAAACTTTGTCTTCTAAGGCACGGAGAGTGTTATTCTCATCTGTTTGTCCTGAGCCTAGAAAGTCACTTCTGACACTTACCCAGTAAAAACACTCTTGTTCCTCTCTAATGTATTACTTCTTACCTAAGTGGGATGGGCCAATTACAGAGAAAATGAGTTTATGTCCAATTTACAAGTAATAAAAAATTCCCCTTCTTTTCCTGTATTTCAGTGGATATTGATATCAACAAGCTAAATACACAGTGGGTACAAGTTGCCTCAAGATATTTAATGACAAAAAGTTTTTGCATCCCATTTAGGGTAAGTACACACATATAGATACATATTGCTTTTATTTACTTACAGTGAAAAGCAAAAAAAACCTCAATCTTTTTTCACTTTTGTCCAAATATTCATCTTCACTTTGTCATTATCCTGGGCATTGCCTTTTAAGCATATAAAACTCCTAAAAATGAGTGAAACTGTGTGGGAGTTGATAGACAATGCACAGTAAGTGGATGAAAATTTTGAACTAAAGCTATTAAAAGTGTATCAGACAACACTGTACTCAAAGGAATACAATTTCACTGGCCTAGTGGGGAGACAAGATGACCTGATTACATATCTTTAATCCTTTATCTCTGTTATGCTAAAGTACAATCAAGATTCCCAGCCATCTGTCAAATAATGATGGATGCTAGTACAAAATTATCATAAAACTGACAGCAAAATCATTAACAAGGAGAAGAAAAATCTAGCATCATCAAATAACACAGCCTTATTCAACTTGAGATTTTGGGTACTAATAAAGGTTGACTGGCCATCACTTGACATTACAGAGGACAGGCAAGTTGTTTTAGGGATCTCTAGGCAGATTATTGATTATTCTTATCAAATTAGTGATTTATTCCTACTTTAAACAAGCAAAAAAGCCACAACCAGCATAGTTCGTTATCCATCTAACTTGTCGTACTTAGTGCAGCTTATAGTTGCACAGCATTTTTAGAATTCTCAGTAGCATGGACTTTTCAGTCTGTGGAAGAAGAAGAAAGCAGTGTAGGTATCTCTGGTCAGGAAGGACCGCAGGTTTAGCTGTCAGCAGCGGTTCTTGACTAAGTATCACCTCTAAGGGCAGCACTCCGGGTATCGCCATTTTCTGGCAGTCCAGCACCAGTGCACTGATCATAACGCTGAGGGGCTCAGCCACCACGGCAGGAGGTGCCCTTCCACCTTCAGGGTGACCCAGCAGCTTAGTCCTAGTTATGCCAATTCCCTTATCACCCCGATATTATGTGTGCCCACACCCTGGGGCCAGAAAGCGCGAGTGAGAGAAAGGGGGAAGCGGTGCACGCTGGCAGCCTGCTTACTTACTGCCAGGGATCGGGACTTAAGGGTGTACCTGCCACTGGTCTGATAGCTGATCTAAGCTGGCTGGGAGACCAGAATTTGGGCTGCTGAGACTCGAACACTAGAGGAGACCTTAACTGCACTACTCCACTGCTGTTCTTGGGCAAGTCAGTCCCACAGGCATCCTTTATATGCAGTCTCTCTACTTTATCCTAACATCTGTGTGTACGTGTAAGTGAGGAAAAAAGAGCTATTGGCTGAAAGGAACACTCTCTGGATAGGTAAGCTTTTTCATGAAGGTGATCAACATTACATACACTAAGTTTCCTCCTATGTTTAATACAAAATGTCAAGAATAAGAAAAATCAGAATTGAATTGAATGTATGTATGTATCATATGTGAATAAGTTTCCAGATTGCTAGGAGATACAAGCTCACATAATGCTATTAACAATTTTGGGAGGAAGACATGATGACAAAGATATAAAATTGACAACAGATACTTTGTTAAAAAAATCCTTTATGTTCCCACAATGTTCATTCAAACACCACTGAATTGCACACTGATGAAAATTTCAGTCAGCATTACATCCTAGCAGTGAGCATTCATGTTTTGATTCATAGCTCAGGATGGTGTAACAGTAGCGGCAACAACCTGCATAGCCTGGACAGAAGTAACAGGAACAAAATGTTTCCCATTGCCTCTGCCTAGGGTGAGGGGAACGTTAATTCCTGGCATTTGCTGCCATCTCCTGAGTTTCAGGCAGTATTGCAGTGGAATTCTATCTGTGAACGGTTTCTTCCTCAAAAGTAAGCATATCTTTAGATAGCTATGCCACAGACACGCTAAGCAAACACATTGCTTACAATTTTGAAAGGATTCCCTTGTATTGCTACACAGTGTAGAAGTTACTTGCATTCAATAACAATATATACGTTCTGAACTAGTTTGGATGAAATGCTATGCTGTGTCCAGCAGATGCAAGATGCTGTCTTGTAACTAGTGTTACTAACCAACACTAACCCATACGTATAGTCCCAGACATGAGGGGCAAAAAGAAAGTGCATAAAAACTTGCTGAGATTTCAGTAAGGAAAAGAAACAAACAAACTTATGCCAGTAGAACATGTCAACAAACCACAGAATCAGAATGGCTTAGGCTGGAAGGAACTGCAGAGGATCCTTTGGATCATCCAATTCAAATCCCCTGCTCCAGGCATGGTTGTCAACTACTAAATAAGGCACTGGATCACACTGTCCAGAAACCCATCCAATCTGGACTTCAATGCCTACAGGGATTGGGCATCCATAGCTTTTCTGGGCAGCTGTGCCAGTACCTCACCAGCCTCACCTCAATGAGGTCTCCCAGGAGTCTTCTCTTCTCAAGCTGAAGAAGCCTAGCTCCATTAGCCTGTCTTTGTAGGAGAGGTGCTCCAACCCTCTGACCATCTTAGCAGCCCTCCTCTGGAACTGTTCCAACAGCTCTGCATCTTTTCTGTGTTAGGGCCCCAGGCCTGGAAGCAGTGATCCTTATGAGGGTAGAGCAGAGGGGGCCAATCACCTTCCTTGCCCTGTTGGCCACCCATCTTTTGATACAGCCCAGGATACAGTTGGTATTGCTGGCAGCAAGTGCACACTGCTGCCTCATGTCCAGCTTATCATCTACTAGGACCACCAAGTTCTTCTTGGCTTGGCTGGTCTCAAGGATTTTCTCTCCCTGTCTCTATACATATCTGGAATTTCCCTGATGCAAGCACAGCACCTAGCACCTGGCCTTGTTGAACATCACTAGGTTCACATGGGCCCACCTTTCAAGTTACTTTGGGTCCCTCTAGATGGCATCCCTTCATTCTGTCATATCAACTACACCACTCAAGTTCATCTCATCTGCAAACTTGCTGAGGGTGCACTTAATCCCACAGGTACTCTGAGAGAAATCCATTAAAGTAAAGGCAATCAATGGATCCTGAAAGCACTGCATCACACCAAAAATGAAACACTGATCAAATGACCATGCATAGTTTCACAGCCATTCTGAAGAAGACCAGTCTTTGTACTTCCACCTAGCAAGACAGAAGTGCTGTAAGGTGGTCTTTGAAAAATGATGTCAAGGCACAATCATCCACACTGCAGCACCCTGATGCGGGTTAATGGAATCAAACTGCCCACATGCTTCCTCAGCCCATCCTTACAAGCTGAACCAGTGGTACATGCTTCATCAGTACTACAAGACACACTTCTAACCAGACATAAGACTGGGAGAGGAGAGGTGCTGCTCACCCACTGCTTCAACAGTCACTGTACTTGTCCTCAGCCAAAGAAAGCCTACTTGAAAACAATCTTAAATCAAAACAGAGTCAGTGAAAGGAGAACAGAGAAAATCTCTATTCAGTTGGGCTGTTTTATCTTTGAGAAACCACTACACAAACATTTTCTTCTCCATTCCTGGAAAAGATTAAGGAACAAGGCAAAACTTGCTCTACTTCTCCCATTTCTAATATACAAAATAAAACTCCTTTCCCAAGGTAGATGAGGATGGCTTATTTCAGATATTACTGGAAGCAGTGGTTCTGTAGAGAGATCTTCAAAGACAGCTGCAGTTGGGGCTGGAGACACTGCATAAACAGTACTGCAGTCTGTAAGGTGTAGTACTGAGACCAGATGTCAAATCAGCATGAAATTCTCTTAGCACAGCAAAGTTATAGCATTAGATACACTCATTTTTCAGAAACATTTTCAGGTTCTGCTACATTTTCAGCTTCTGTCAGTGTTTAAATTTGGGTCTAAAGAAAGAGCTCTTTCATGATAACAGGCATGTTTGAAGAAGCACATCACAGAATGGCTTGGGTTGCAAGGCACCTCAAAGCTCATCCAGCTCCAAACCCACTGCTGTGAGCAGTGCTGCCAACCACCAGATCAAACTATGAAGGAACCCATGCAGCCTGGCCCTGAGTGCTTACAGGGATGGGACGTGCACAGCTTCTCTGGGCAGCCTTGCCAACACCTCGTGGCCCTCTGAGTAAAGAATTTCTCCTCAACATCTAAACAAAACCTCCCTCTTCCAGTTTAAATCCACCCTCCCTTGTGCTATCACTACGTCAGTACAAAGTCGGTCCCTCTCCTGCTTCTGAGCTCCTTCCAAGTACTGGAAGACCTCTTCTCCAAGCTGAACAATCCCAAATCCCAACACCTGAAGGGACTTCTTTAGTTATCTTCTGGTCACTTTTTGCTGCTTTAACATAAAAGCCTGAAAGCCAAGCTGCAAGATAAACAGCCATAACCGATAACAATTAAATACATGGCAGCATAGTAAGGCTCAGCCTCTGTCACACGGGGATAAAAGTCATGTTAAAGACTGGGACAAGGCGCGACGGGACGCAACGCCGCGGGACTGGCACACACACAAGCCGACCAGAACCGACCGAGGACCGCACACCGCCAAACCCGACCCGCGCAGCACCGCAAGGCCCGCGCGTCGCCCGGTGCGGACCGGCGGCCGCCCCACAGCACGCCGACCCCCGCGGCCGCCTGCCAGCCGGCGCCACGTGACCCGCCGCGCGCAGCGCATCTTCCCCGCCCGCAGCTGCTCCGCCCGGGGGCGGTGCCGGCATCGGCTGCCGCTGGGCACGTGACGTGAGCGCTCGTCCCCGTCACGTGTTCCTCCCGCTGGGCCTCCGAGCTCCTCTCTTCTCCCGGTCCTCCCCACCTCGGGCGTGCGAGGGCTGCGCGCATGCGCAGCGCGCAGCTGTCATCAGGGCACGGAAGAAGTCGTCCCGGGGAGAACGAGGGGTAGAAGCTTGGGAGTGTTCGTTGAGTGTGGGCAGGAGGGGGAAGAACGCATATCCGGCGTGCGGCGCAGTCGCCTGCCTCTCTTCGCTGCGGCCGCACGATCCTTTTCTCTCGGACAGGTGCGGGGCGGCTCCGGGCCGGGCGGCGGCTCCGGGGGCGGGAGGGCTCCGGGGCTGGAGCTGGCGGCGGGGCTCCGGGGCTGGGCTGGGAGCCGCGCTGCGTACGGCCGGGGGGAGCCGCGGGCAGGTGCCGGGCGGCGGGAGCCGCGGTCCCGCTCCGGCCCTGGGCTCCGCGGCTCGGCCGGAGCTCGGAGCGCTGGCGGCGGGCTCGCGGCCCCCTGTGTCCGCCGGCGGCCAGCACGCGGCACGGGGTGCCCGCGGGGCTTCTCCCGATGCTGCGGTTCATTCATTGCTCGGCGCAGGTCGGACGTGCCTGTCGTAACGTGGCTGGAAGCGGCGTCGGGGCGAGCCGTCGGTGTCGGCACGCGCCCCGCACCTGCTCCTCTGCCGGTCCGCCGCCAGCGGCTGCTGCCGGACGGGGCGGGACGGGCACCGAGGTGCTGCGCTGGGCCGAGCGCGTCCTCCCGCAGAAAGTATCGTCAGGCTTTCTTGTGTGAGATTAAGGGGAAAAGAGGTGACTTCGTACTGCCTCGAAGAAAGCAGCGTCTGTTCGGGTGTTGCTGAACTGTGGGTTGCAGCTGCTTGTGCTCTTTCTGAGACAACAGCAGGAAAAGAAGTTACCTGGTAGTTACTAAAACAGCAGTTCTCAAGCTTTAACGCTTTCCACGAAAAATAAACTCGGCAGCACCGTGATGCGGGGTGTTTTCTGTCACCATGCACTGTTTTCTTTGTTCAGCTTATGGGGAACGTGGTGATGCGAAGCAGCTCAGGCCTTGCCCTGGTCTGCCTGGTGCTGCGATGCATGTCTCGCAGAAGGCCCTTCTGCATGCAGGGGTGTGGGAAACAGAGGCACGGTTTGCTTGCTGATCCTTGAAACAAGTGGAGCGGTGCCAGTGTGCTTGGGCAGCTGGTGGTTGGCTTTTAGCTCAGCACAGGTACAGATGTGTGTAAGAGCAGTTTCTTTTCCTTGGCCTGATGCAGGAAACAATTTCCAAGTAAGTGGACGAGATAAAACAGCAGTTAGGTCAGAATGAGAGCCGCTGTATGTAAGATAAAAACCTTTAGTTAGTTTCCGCTTAAAAAGAAAAACTTGAGCAAACAAAAAATCCGTTCTTGATCTGGTCTCTGAGGTTTCTATGGCAAATGTGACAAAAAAGGGAAGAAAATCAGGCTCTTTAATTATTAGTCCTTAACTTTTGCTGATGCTATTTTCTATCTAGCATCCTGGTTTTTAAACAACGTAAACAATTCTGCAGCAATTGTAAATGTACAGTTACCACAGTAATGCATTCAGTTCAGAACATTATGCTGTAAAATGCTAATTATTGTAACTCACTAGGCTGTTATGAACAGGCACAGTAACTGTGCAGTAGAAAAATTGGTGACTTCATATGTAACTAAAAAAAAAAAAGTTGAGGAGATTAAGGACTTCTGCGGTCCTTTCTCAGCTCATCTCTTGATTGGACCACTTCTTGGTTCTGTGGTCAACTCACTTTTTTTTTCTCCTGTAGTTGTCTTTTGCAGGAAAATATTTCTTCAGTATGAAGCTGAATGGGGTATTTGGTTTTGTTCAGATTTGCTTTATGAAGGTCCTAGTCTCCTTTGTCCCCCATGCAAAAAGCTGATGTATTTTCAGATGTATTTTTAATATCATGGAGTTTTGAAGATAACATCTTAGTGTAATTACAGTTTTCAGGTTTTTAATACATGTCCAGTAAAATACATCTATAGTTGCTTGATGACTTAACTCTTCATATCTCAAAACAAATGAGTCCCATGTTGAGTTCTTGATTTTCATTTAGATTCGGAGACTAATAGGATATTTTGAAGGAATTCAGTATCTTATACAGGGACAATAGTAGTTCTGTAATCAAATGACAATGAAGGTTCTTGCAAGAAATTTCTGAAGCAACGTTGACTGTGCTGTACAATCTTGCTGTAGTTTGGGTATATAAAGCATTAGAACATACTTCAGTTTTCTCAAGTAGTATGCTGTGTCATAATTCATTAAGTTGTGAAATTAAATTTTGCTCTAACTTCATTTCCCTTGTTTAAAATTGTGATGCTAGTGGTATGTTACTAACTTTTCCCCTGGGAGTAGCTTATACTGTTGACTCAAGCAAGAACTCGTGTTTTCTTTTTCTTCATTCTGTTTAATTCTTGGTGGTACAGCATATTTAGGAAAATACAGGCTAATTGTAGGTTAATTCAAGATGTTAAAGGAGTTAGAATTCAATATGCATCTTCTAGTGAATATTGCAAGAAGTTTAGTGTCTTAATTGGTTTTGCTCTCAGGCCTGGTGGGAAACTACTTTGGTTGTTGCAGATGTTGTAGAGGAGTTTCACAAACAAAATGCATTCCAATTCCTCAGTTCCCTTGTGATATTTCTGCCTACAAAATATAGTATTGCTGGACTGCAGTTGTTTTGATTTAGCTCTGTTGACCTTGGATTTCCTGCTGGGCTTTGTCTAGCTAAAATAAAAGTTTTAGTTGTTAGCAGATAGCCTTACTTTAGGTGGACCCATGTAGCCACTCCTTCTGCCTTCATGCTGTAGATTGTTCTTCTTGATCAGGTTTTGTTTCATTGTTCAGTTTTTTTTTTTTTTCTGTTGAAATGTGATTTATGTCCAGTTACAGTTTCTGTAAATTATATAGCTGAATAAGTTGTTAATTACTGTAAATTTTTTTGGGAAAAAAGGGTAATTGTGATTTGAAAACTGAAATGTTGGGAGGAAGTGTGGAAGTCTGCAAACAGCTGTGAATAAAGGAACAGAAATAAGTTGAATAACTTGATCCCTAAACATTAGGGATTTTCTGAATGCTGGAGTTTAATTTCAGATTTAGCTATTTGAAGTATTTGATCTCAATAAGTGATGAGAAATACGTGAAAATAAAATGAATAAAAGTACTTAGAGGAAAATAATCGTCCTGACAGGCTTTTTGCTTACAGTTTTCTGAGTATGCCTTGTGTTTAAGCTGGTGATACTTGGAAGCTCACAGCGTTCTTTCAGTGTCCCTGTGGAAATCTCTTCTAGATTTATTCAGATACAGACCTCTGCAGAATCTTGTTATACAAACGTTAAGTAGGCGGCTTAACAAATTCTGCTTTGCACTGCTTGTATGACAGAGTGATACCTTATGCTACAGATGTAAGTCCAGCACAGGCATAGTGTTGATGCTTTCTTCTTGCTCCTGTCACTTGATAGAATACTGTGCATTAGAGTTGCGTGGTTCCCTCGTACTAATGTGTGAGTCCATTTCAGGTGGTCTGCTCTTGGTACGCACAAGTACGACATTTGGTGGCCTGTGGTCGTTTTGAAGTGAGGAGGCTTCTGGTTGTGTGAGCAGAGGAAATGCTTTCTCTGCTGCTGTGAGTGTTGAAGCGTCGTGCTGCTGTTGAAGTAGAAGCGTGGTACGGCTATAGCACAGATGTGCTTGTAGTCATATATTTCACTTCAGCAGTAACAGCAGAACTGCACACATGAGTTTGTCCAGGCCACTTGGTGTTGAGTCTCTGGTATTGCAATGGGATGTAAGAGTAAGGGAACTGCATGACTTCATTTTCTTTAATGAGAGGAAAAATGCTGACTGGGAAGGTCGTATGGTTAGTTCTGCACCTCTGACAAGGTCTGTAGTTCCAGGTGTGCCGTAAGCAGCACAGGTGGAAAACTCTCCTTTGTTTCTCAGCTTGTAAATATTTGCTGCTTTTTTTTTTTTAACTTTGTCTTGCCTTGGTTCTTCATCTAGTAAAGACTTTTGCCATGTGGTGGCAGGTTTAATCTAATCATTTTAATATGTTAGATTAACAAAAAAGTTTGTGGTTTTTAGAACTCTTTGAAATCAACTATGTTTGTGTACAAGGCAAGGAGATCTGTAAGGGCTTCTTTGAGGACTATACCAAATTCAAGGATGTTGATACTCCATTGTGTTAATTTGTGGTTTACCCGTATCTTGACTGTTGCTTGTGGTTTTTTGCGTTCCTTTCCCCAAACTAAAAGTAACTTGCTGATTCCAGAAATAGAATGTAAGGATGGTCAGTCAGAAGCATGGAATGGATTTTCTGCAGCGACTCTTTAGCCTAGAAGAGAGACAGCTGAAGGAGGCTATGCTGGAGGTCTTTCAGTCATGTGTGCTCAAGGTGAACTTGAGAAGATAGAAAACTACTTCCAGTGTGTGTGTGAGATTTCTGTTGAAATTAGAAAGTGAAATATACAAAGCATGCGGCAGATGAAACATCTCCTTCTGTACGTTGTTGATTGTGGAGTACTTTGTCACAAGGTTTTTTTTTTTTTTTTTTGATATTAAAGGCCCACACAGTTTGAAAGTCACAGACAGAAGTCCAGCAACTGTGTAAAATACAGAAATGTACAGCCTCAAGAGTTCTTGAGCTGTGAGTTGCTGAAGACTGGGATGGTATTCTGGAAAAGTGTAATTGTACATTACTTCTCTCTGGAAAAAAAAAAAAGTAAAGATCTGCTGTTATTAGCTGTGAGAACTGGATAGGTTGAACTGTTCCTAGAGGCTGTTACAGCCACCCAATGTGGACTACAGATTCCATACTTTGTTTTCATACAACTTATCTTTCTCGTTCTGTGTCCCAAATCAATTGTTTTAAGATGGTTTTGTGTACTGCAAGCATAGCATGGGCAGTGAATGGCTATAGAGTGAATTCAGGTTGTTTTCCGGTTTAGTACTTCTGGCTTCACAATAGGTCATTTTTCTATTTTGGAAATAATTGCTTGAGAGGTAGTACCAGGCCACAGAAACACAAGCTTGAAATGAAGATTGTCAAACCACCTATAGTCAAGTTGAGATATATTGAGAGCTTTATAATAAGTTCACCTGCCTAGATTCCAAGTTCTTTAAGCTTTTATAGTCCATAAACTATATAATAATTTAGTACTCCTATATTTCAAACTTAAATTTATTTTTCCTGATGAATGCTGGATATCTGATGGCCTTATCATGAGGCTAAAGTTATAAATACCTGATTTTATGT